AAATGTTTAAAGACTGATGAATAGGAAAAGAACTAAAAATCCTACACAATGTTTTAGCTTCATAATCCCTGACCAGACAGTTGCAATATCTGACTAAGCACATGGCACCTGTGTATTTCCTAAGTCCTGCTCACCTTCAGGTGTGTCCTTGAGCCCCCAGTGACTTTCCAAAGAGTCTGGAATCTCTTTCCCACTTCTAGGTCTCAGCTCAGAGACAGAAGAGCCAGTGTTTTGCTTCATTACAGGTGATATAGACTTTTTATTTAAAGTACATTCTGTAAACTGTGGGATCTGCTAGGCTGTGTGCTAAAATGTAGGCTGGGAAGATGGCTCATTGGATAGAGCAGATGCCATACAAGCATTAGAACCCTCAGAGTTTGGACCGAAAGAACCTAGGCAACCACTAGGCAGGCTCATCTGTCATCCCAGAACAGATAACAGAGGGAATCCCTGGTGCTTGGTACACCAACCAAATCAGGAACTCCCTGGAGTTACACTACTCAAATCAGGAACTCCCTGGACCTACCTACACTAACCAAGAACCAATGAACTCCAGATTCAGCAAGAAACTCTACCTCAGTAAACAGATGGAGAGGGCAGGAGAGATGACTCAGCAGGTAAACAAGGAGAGATGATTCAGCATGTAAAAGGCCCTTCCTGCATGAGCTTGACAAGCTGAGTTCAACAGCAGATCCCAAGGTAGAAGGAGAAAGCCAATCCCTGGAAGTTATCCTCTGACTTTCACATATGTATCATCACTTAACACACACCACAATCACACATACACACACACACACACACACACACACACACACACATACACCAGATGCATCCTCACAAAAAGAAAATTATAAAAACAAGATGCAGACTTTTGGACTCTAGCCCACAAAGGCTCAGACTCTAAGGTCAAGGTATGAGCCTGGAAGTCTGGATATCAAGTATATCCCATGATGTGATTCTACCCTCTATGGTAAACTATTAGAAGTCTGGATATCAAGTGTACCCCATGATGTGACTCTACCCTCTATGGTAAACTATCAGAGGCACCAGCAGAGGAGAAAGCATTCTGGAAGTAGAAAATGCTTTATTCCATAATGCTTCCAGGGAAGTAATTCCAGCATTAGGGTAGTTGATGCTGTCCTAAGGTGTCCTTAAAGAAAACTCGTAAGCCCTCTCTAAATGGATTTTAACTCACTATTGTTTAAATTGGAAGCTGTAACACATATTCTCTCTTCTCTGTGATAGTAGGTATCACAGCAAGAAAGATGAAAGGGGAGCAGGCAAAAAACTTTAACTTCCCAAAGTCTAAAAACTCTTTGAAGAAAGGACCCTTGGATGTAGTCTATGTAGAACACTTTCCCCCTAATATAAAATCTGGAACTTAGAGCTATCACTGAAAAGGAAATCTGGGCGATGGCTCCATCAGTGACATCTTTGCGTTACAAGCACAGGGACCTGAGTTCAATCCCCTGAACCCATGTGAAATATTCCTGTAGAGATGTCACGCACTTGTAAATCTCAGCCACATGGAGTCAGAGGAAACAGGATCCCTGACACTGACTGACAAGCCAGCCTAGCCTACTTGGTGCATTCCAGGAACAGAAGGAGGACCCCACACAAAGGAAGGTCTTTTTTTTTCTTTCTCTCCATGTTTATTTAAATTAGAAACAAGATTATTTTACATGTCAATCCCAGTTCCCTCTGACTCCTCTCTCCCCTGCCCCCCCCCAACTAACACCTTACCTATCCCATACCCTTTCTGCTCCCCAGGGAGTGTGAGGCCTACATAGGGAGTCTTCAGAGTCTGTCATTTCTTTTGGGATAGGGCCTAGGCCCACCCCCTTATGTCTAGGCCCAGGGAGTATCCCTCTATGTGGAATGGGCTCCCAAAGTCCATTTCTACACTAGGGATAAGGATTGATCTACTACAAAAGGCCCCATAGACTTCAGAGGTCTCCTTACTGACACCCATGCTCATGGGGTCTGGATCAATCCCATGCTGGTATCCCAGCTATCAGTATGGAAACCAAGAGTTGCCCCTTGTTCAGGTCAGCTGTTTCTGTGGGTTTCACCAGCCTGGTCTTGAACACTTTGCTCAACACTCCTCCTTCTCTGCAACTGGATTCCAGTTCAGTTCTGTGTTTAGCTGTGGGTGTCTGCTTCCACTTCCACCAGCTCCTGGGTGAAGGCTATAGAATGGCATATAAATCAATCATCAATCTCATTATCAGGGCAGGGCATTTAAGGTAGCCTCTCCTCTGTTGCTTAGATTGTTAGTTGGTGTCATCATTGTAGATCTACAGATGTTTCCCTAGTGCCTGATTTCTCATTAAACCTATAATGGCTGCCTGTATTATGGTATCTCTTATCTTGCTCTCCTCTATTCTTCCCCCAACTAAACCTTCCTGCTCCCTCATGTCCTCATCACCGCTCCTCTTTTCCCCTTCTCATTCTCCTAGCTCCCTCTTTCCTCCCCTCATGCTCCCAATTTGCTCAGGAGGTCTTGTCCCTTTACCCTTCTCCGGGGCACCATGTATGTCTCTCTTAGAGTCCTCCTTGTTCCCTAGCTTCTCTGGAAGTATGGATTGTGGGCTGGTAATTCTTTGCTCTGTCTAAAATCCACATATGAGTGAGTACATATCATGTTTGTCTTTTTGTGACTGGGTTACCTCGCTCAGATGGTTTCTTCTAGTTCCATCAATTTGCTTGCAAATTTCAAGATTCCATTGGTTTTTTTTTTTTTTTTTTTGGTTTTTTTTTTTTTCCGCTGAGTAGTACTCCATTGTGTAAATGTACCACAATTTCCGTATCCATTCTTTGGTTGAGGAGCATCTAGGTTGCTTCCAGGTTCTGCCTATTACAAATAATGCTGCTATGAACATAGCAAAACAGATGTCCTTGTTGTATGAATGTGCTTCTTTTGGGTATATGCCTAGAGTGGAATTGCTGGATCTTGTGGTAGACTCATTCCCATTTTCCTGAGGAGTCGCCATACTGATTTCCAAAGTGACTGTACAAGTTGGCACTCCCACCAGCAGTGGAGAAGTGTTCCCCTTTCTCCACATCCTCTCCAGCATAAACTGTTGTTGGTGTTTTTGATTTTGGCCATTCTGACAGGAGTAAGATGGTATCTCAGAGTTGTTTTGATTTGCATTTCCCTGATGGCTAAGGATGTTGAACACTTTCTTATGTGTCTTTCAGCCATTTTAGATTCCTCTATTGAGAATTGTTTATTTAGTTCTGTACCCCACTTTTTAATTGGATTGTTTGGTGTTTTGGAGACTAGCTTCTTGAGTTCTTTGTAAATTTTGGAGATCAGCACTTTGTCAGATGTGGGGTTGGTGAATATCTTTTCCCATTCTGTGGGCTGATGTTTTGTCTTGCTGATGGTGTCCTTTGCCTTACAGAAGCTTCTCAGTTTCAGGAGGTCCCATTTAGTAATTGTCAATCTCAGTGTCTGTGCTACTGGTATAATGTTCAGGAAGAGGTCTCCAGCACCAATTCATTCAAGGGTATTTCCCATCTTCTCTTCTAATAGGTTCAGTGTGGCTGAATTTATGTTGAGGTCTTTGAGCCATTTAGACTTAAGTTTTGTGCAGGACGAAAGACATGGATCTATCTGCAGTCTTCTACATGCCAGCATCCAGTTATGCCAGCACCATTTGTTGAAGATGCTTTCTTTATTCCACTGTATAACTTTAGCTTCTTTGTCAAAAATCAGGTGTTGGTAGGTGTGTAGGTTAATATCAGGGTTTTCAACTCTATTCCATTGCTCTATCTGTCTATTTTTGTGCCAATACCAATCTGTTTTCAGGACTATAGCTCTATAATAGAGCTTGAAGTCATGGATGGTGATGCCCCCCGGAAGTTCCTTTATTGTACAGGGTTGTTTTGGCTATGCTGGGTCTTTGTTTTTCCATATAAAGTTGAGAATTACTCTTTCAAGGTCTGTGAAGAATTGTGTTGGGATTTTGATGGGGATTGCATTGAATCTGTAGATTGCTTTTGGCAAGATTGCCATTTTTACTATGTTAATCCTACCTATCCAAGAA